ACTCGGGCCCTCTGTTAGTGCTGACCCCAGGCCAGGCAGGCGGGCCTCACTTCCACTGCACGCCTGGCCCATGCCAGCAGCCTGCTCGTAGGAGCCAGCTAGCTGTGTGCTCTGACCTCACACGTTCCTAGGCAATCTCAAAGGGAGCGCCCCCGGCCAGGAGCCCCGCCAGGAGGCCCGCAGGCGGCCAGCTCTGTTTGGTTTTCCCCTTCCTGCCCGGGAACCTCAATTCCGTCTCGCCAGGCCGGCGCCCCTCGACAAGGAAGCACAAAGGCCCTACACAGCCAGCAGAAAGTACAAGACACACGTAGCGCTCAGCCTCAGCCGGGGTGGGCACTTGCCCCAACTGCACTGGGCAGAGCCTGGCCCCTCCGCTTTTGGACACTCTTCCAAAACTTCTCTCACCCTAGGCTGCTCAAACTAGGAGACAGGGAGCACACGATGTGCCCAAGAGGATGCTGAGGCCCGAATGTCTGAGTGTCTGACCAGCATGGGGCACACGCATGCACACATACCAAAGCAGCCCTGAGGAGACCTGTCTCCGGGAAGTCCTGCAGGCGTGGGCCTGGCGGGTGGGACCAGATCTCCTGTTAAGCATTAACCAGCTTCATGTCCCTCTGTCAGACCAGCTGACCATAGATAAGGAGTCAAATGGACAGCCAGGTCCGGTAGAGCCTGGGGGCAGATCGGAACTGGACAGATTGAACCCACTTCCTTGGACTCCAGATAGACTGGTCAGCATAGAATGGGGACAGAAGCCACTCAAATTTCAGGCCTTGCTGGGGTCATGGAGCAAGAGACAGAGCAATTTGGCCTGAATAAGGACTTTGGATCCATTAGCTTAGGACCCATCTGAGAGAGAAGGCTGCTAATGGGGTGACTAGGACTCGATGAATTGTCCAGCCCAGCAGTGGTGAAGGCACAGACAGAGTGACCCCTGGAAGGTTCTCTGATTCCAGAAGGGGGGCACTAGCAGGGCTGGGCAGTCCCTGACAGCCCTCTGAGAGAGCATTACCAATCCAGCACTGCCCAGCTCTGCCCAAGGCCACCTTGGGCCCTCCTTCTAGTATGTTCTTGGATCCAGCAACACCAGAGAGGACCTCCCCGACACCACACAAACCCAGAGATTCTGGGGACTCAGGACATGCCTCAGGATGCTCATCTTCTCCAGCTGAACACAGCCTTCTCCCTGTCACCTCCACCTGCAATACCTCTGGCCGAGCAGAAATGTTCTCACCTCAAGACCCCCTGGAAGGGAGCTAAGACTGGGACACTGGTTCTGGGGACCTTCCCCAGGGCCAGCAGTTCCAGTCATGAGGTGGGGCTCCCCAAAGGCCTACCTTCCCACACCCCCTCCTCCCCACCAAGAACTCCTATGTAATCATTAAAAGCCAACCAACTCTCAGCTTCAGCCTTGGTCTCTGAGCGCTATCTGGGAGTCTGGCCCCTGGGTGCCCAGGGCCCAGGAGGAAGGGCTGGAGGTCAGGTGGGCTGAGGAGATGGTGGGAATCAGGTGAGAGCTGTCTACACCACATTTAGGAGGACTGCAAGGGCCCACAGAAACCTTGATCCCATGACAGTATGAAAGTTCCAGCTAGATGGTAGGTGGATCTTCCCAAGAAGATGAATTGTCAGTCCTTTAATATGTACCAGGCCTGAACTGGGGTATACAACCCTAAAGTGGGGAGCCAGTCTTCACACTCGCTTTTAGGGACAGAAATCCTTCCCAGTGGGGCCGGGCCAGGGGACGGGAACTCGGTGTAACTATAGAACAGGTGCTGGGGGCCTGGGCTCCAGGGAGGGATTCCTGGAGGAAGGGGCAGAATGGGGAACAGGAGGGGCGTTTCAGGCAGGAACCAGGGAGTAAAGTGTGGCAGCTTCAGGAATGACTCAGCAGGTGCCGAGGGTTGGGGAGCAGGAGGGGGGCTCTCTCAGAAGACAGCCCAGAGCTGTGAGGCTCAGTCAGAGGAGTCTCCATGGAGGAAGGAAGGGACCTGTCTCCCTCCACACCTAGAGAGGGAGGTTTCCTCCCAGCCAAGGAGATGGACAAGCAGAGTTAGACAACAAGAAGGACCTCCTACCCTAGCTGGGTGAGAGAATGACTGAGAAGGGGTCTGGGAGAGAGCTAGCTGCTAGCTCTTTGTGGATCTTTCTGGAGTAGCCTGGAGGCTGCATGGCTCCCAGGCGCGTGTGGCGCCATCTAGTGGCGGCGTCACCGCCTGAACCTTTACCACCGTGGGGACCCGGCGGGCCTGAGGGACCCTATGCCGGCCCACAAGGCTGCCCGCTTCCCAGGGTTCCTGGGACCCTTCCAGTAGGACTTCCTGGGACAGCATTCACCTGGCTGGGCCAGCAGTCCCAATGACTGTCCAGGATTAAGTAGGATTCTATCCCAGCCACTGTCTGTGCTTCTGACTCGGGGTTCCCAGGAGTGGCTGGTGGATATGAACCACCGGTCTGGAGGTTCAAACCGACCTTATGGTCGAGTTCTTACCCTACTATTCCTGTCTGCTCTTAGACTGCACCCAGAGTGGGAACACGAGCAAGGCAGTGTTAGAGACCGATGGGATCGCGCCCACATACACAGACACACACATGTATGAGGGAGTTCCAAAGATCGTGTGGCAAAATTGCATTGTCTTTTCGTCTTTTGAATCCATTTCCCACGTATTTCTTGAAGCCCCCTCATACACACACACAGGGGTGCGGTGGCTCCAGACAATTAGTACTGGACTTCAAAGTACAAGGTCCATGGTTCAAGACCACCAGCTGCTCTAGGGAGAAAGACAAGACCTTTTGCTCCGGGGGAAATTTGAAAGCCTCAGAAACTCTCTCCAGGGTCTCTATGAGCTGGAACCAAAGGCACTTACCAATAACAACATACACACACAAAGCCCAAATTCTGAACCGTAACTCAAAGGAAGCTATTTTAATTTTAATTTCAGGATACATGTAAGCTCTGAGATTACAAAAAATCAGAATTGATTAAATTGAAGTTAATGGACTAATGAGCAGGAGATGGGGGGTGGCGTGTGTAAATCCAGCTCCAGGGACCCGCAGGCCAGTGGTAATTCCACCAGTGAACACTAGGGGCGCTTTGCCAGGGCCCTGCGGGGTGCTCATATTCTTTGTAGGGGACAGTAGGACTGGCTCTAGAATCTTCGAGGCCAAATGCAAAACAATGTGGAGCGCCGGAGACACGGTGGGTGGGCTCAAGCCGACTATGCCCACTGTTTTCACCACCAGGGATTCTAAGCCTCATGTCATACTTGTTGTTAGGTGCCATTACGTTGCTTCTTCTGGTTCATAGCAACAAAATGAGATTCTGCCCACCATTTGTTGTCACTGCTATTAAATGCCGTCGAGTCGATTCTGACTTATCACAACCCTGTAGAGGGTTTCTGAAGAGAGGCTGGTGGGCTTGAACCACCCACCTCGTGGTTAGCAGACCAGGGCTTATTCTACAGTGCCAAGGCAGGCCTCCGACGATGATGTTGGTGTTGTTAAGTGTCATTGAATTAATTCTGACTCATTGGGACCCTGTATAGGGTTTCTGAGGAGTCACTAGTGGATCTGAATCACCGACCTTGCGGTTAACAGTCCAGTGCTTATCCTACAGCACCATTTACTTGTCCTTGGAAGGGGTCATCATCCTGACTTTGCAGGAACCATGAGCATAAGTGAAGGACCCTTGGGGGTGGACAGAGATAGCAAGGGAGACAGGACCCCCAGGGTTTGGTGTGTGGATTTACTGGGGCCCTCAGGGCCTGGTGTGTGGATTTCCTGGTGCCTGGACCCCCAGGGTTTGGTGTGTGGATTTACTGGGGCCCTCAGGGCCTGGTATGTGGATTTACTGGGGCCCTCAGGGTCTGATGTGTGGATTTGTAGTGGCCTGAATCCCCAGGGACTGTGTGTAGATTTCCTGGGGCCTGGACCCCCCAACTGTTGTTGGAGCTGCTCCCCCTTCCACTAGACTAGTGTGGGGGGGCGGAGGACAGGAAAGGGGTGTCACAGGAACCCTGTTAGAGCCTTAGCACTCCGCCCCACTTGGATCCCTGGCCTCCTTGTTGGGAGGAACCAGCCCAACCAGGTGCGTTCCCACCCCAGGCCCCAGGCAGGTAAGGGTGCAGGGGCCAGGCAGGCCACGCCAGTCCCTCCCTTCCCCTCCCCCACCAGAGGGTGGCGGAGCAGGCAGGTAGGCGAGTCTGGGCAGCTGAGTCAGGGCGCCTGGAATGTTCTGGCCTCGCCCTACCCCTACCTGCCCCCACCTCACCCTCATCCCCAGGCGTTGCTGGCCAGGAGCCCACCTGTGCCAGGGGTATGCCTTGAGCTCAGGCTTACAGGAACGAGCTGCCACCATGCCAGACCCTCTATGTCGCCCCAGCAGCGTCCCCTTCCCCATGACCCCTGAAAGCCTAGCTTCCTGTGCTTCCCAGGCCCCAAGTTCACAGTGGACATGCCACCCCCAACCTCCCATGTGTAACTGCAAATCCCCAGGGGCAGAGGAGGAATGAGACACTCCCTACCCCCTACCACAAAGGCTAGGAGAGAGGGGTCAGGAGAGCTGGAGGGCTTCCTGGGAGAGGTGGCTCTGGCGCTGCTCCTGCAGGGAGGGAGGGAGGAAGGGAGGGCCCTGTGGTCCATGACCAGTGAAGACAAGACTCCCAGTCCTGGGCTCCTTGGCTGAGGCTAGGGGCTGGCGGGGTGGCCAGGAGGCAGGGCCTGTGGCAGCGAAGCCCAAGCTTTCGCCAGAGCCCAGAGCCTCCCTGGCCATGCTGGCTTCTACTCCGAGTCCTCACCCATGGCTACCTCCTTGCCCAGGTGGCTTAAGGCAGATGGGGCAGCAAGCAAGGGTCCGAGGGGCCACCCCACACCATTAGCTGACCCCCCTCTCCAAACGGCAGGGCCAGGGGTGGGCACGTCCCCCAGCCCCCTGAAATGCCCTGGCTGGACCTGACACCACAGCTCAGCCCGAGCTGACTGCTGAGCCCACTGTCAGGATGCCCTGTAAGTGCTGGGACCCCCGAAAGGGGTGGATGATGGCTCAGCCTTAGAGCTGGAAGCTGTCCAGAGGAGCACCTGGCCCCCGTCTGTACCTCCAGGGTCCCGCTGGGCACTTGTGGCCATAGCAGTGGCTGCCGGAATCCTGGTTGTTGTCACCTCCTGTGTGCCATCCGGTGCCGCCCGTCGCCACTGTCACAACAAGAAGCCCAGAGACAAGGAGGCCGTAGCTCTGGGCAGCACCTCCGGATCCACCACAGCCCATTTGGTGAGGTCCCCCGTGACCCCCCCATGCCCAACTCTAGGGCCACCTCAGCCCCCACCGAGGTTTGACACACACTGGCAGAGCAGGGGTTTCCTGGTGGGGGACACAGATGAGCAAAGGTCATGGGCACAGGAGGAAGAGAGGGCTGGGACCAGTAGCTCAAAGACCTGAATGTTGGTCCTTGGGAGCCACAGTAGGTTCTTGAGGAAGGCCCTGGTGAAACAGGTGCTGCCCGGAGACAGGTGCCCAGACACAGGCACTGTTTGTGGGATGCCCAGAGCTCCGATAGGTGGGGCTTCACCAACACTTGTCACTGTGTCCTGCCCCCTTCCACCAGGTGCAGCCAGATGTGGGTAGTCTGGAATCTGGGCCAGGGGGCCCGTGTCTGCTCCTCTCCTTGGAGTATGACTTTGGGAGTGAGGAGGTAAGGAAGGACTGCCCACTGCCCAGGCCCTGATGGTCTATCGGGAAGGTACAATGGAGGTCAAACACTGTTCCCTGGGTGATGGGGTCATGCCCAATGGATATCTGGGTTGAATTCACACTATGCCTTCCAGATCAGGGTGGGCCTTAAACAGACAGCTGACCTGAGCCCCCTGCATCCTATGGCACGGCTGACCCTTAAGCTCGAATCAGCATCTCCACCCAGGCCAGACATGGGCACAAGACTAAGGTGCCCCGGGGCACACTCAGTCCCCAGTTTCAGGAGACCCGCTGCTTCCAGGTGGGTCTGAGCCAATCAGGGTGGGTCCTGCTCACAGCCCCTGTCCCTCCAGGTCCCAAAAGCTGAGCTACCGAGGGCCGCCCTACGAGTGCAAGTCCTGGACTTCAAGCGTTTTTCGCAGCACACACCGCTAGGCGAACTGCCCCTGCCATTGGGCACCGTGGAACTACAATATGTTCTAGAGCTTAGCACCAGCTGGACCCACCAGGCGTAGCTCAGGTGAGATCAATGACTGTCGGCCACAGCGGCACAAGACCTGAGGAACATGCTCGAAGGCTCAGCAGACCCTCTGCAGAGTCCTGTACCAACTCGGCCGCACTCTGGCTGAGGTCTACGTCTCTGCCATAGCCCAAGCAGACGATGGGGGAGCTATGCTTCTTTGTGCAATAGATGCCCAGCTCCAGCTGGCTGTCTGTGGTGGTCCTGGAGGCCCGGAGCCTGAACCCAGGACTAGCAGGTGAGTTCTCACTGCCCGTTCAGAGGGAAGGGGGGGAAGGACGGAGGGCTGGGGCCTGGACTGGCCTCAGACCCGGGTCTGCTCCTCCGTCCACTGTGTGCGCCCAGAGCCCTACGTGAAGGTCCAGCTCATTCTGCATCAGAGGAAGTGGAAGAAGAGGAAGGCCGCTGGGCGGCAGGTCACCACCTCTCCCTACTTCAATGAAGCCTTCACCTTCCACGTGCCCTTCAGTCAGATCCAGGTGGGCCTCTGGGAGGAAGGGACTGGCCAGGGCCTCACAGGGGCCAAACCGATTGCTGTCTTTCCCTGCTCCTCACCAGAGCGTGGACTTGGTGCTGGCGGTCTGGGCCCGAGGTCCGCAGTTCTGGGCTGGGCCCTTGGGGAAGCTGCTGCTAGGTGGTCATGCTTCTGGTCAGTCCCTGCAGAACTGGACAGACCTGCTGGCCCAGGCCCGGAGACCCATCACACAGTGGCATCACCTGAGACCAGCCAGGGCGGTGGGCCAGACCCTGAAACTGCAGCCCCGCCGGCGCCTGCCCTTGTCCCCCTCCTAAGAGCACCCCCAGGCTGCCTGCCGTGGGGATCATGTGACCATGCCCTCTAGGGGGACCCAGGAATAAAGGTCTTTTCTAGCCACTGCGTGTCTCTCCTCACCACAGCCCTGGTCAGCTCTGCTTCAGGAGGGTTTGAGCAGGGTCTGATTTGGGGGCAATGGGAAGAGAAGGGGTGGGGGCCACAGACACAGAGGGGAAGGTGCTGGACAGTCAGGGAGGCCTCAGGAAGAGGCAGAGGGAGCCGGCCCCCCGGGGACAGTTGGAGGCTTTTTTGGTGAGGGGGAGGGAGAGTGGTGTGAAGGGAGGGATCCCCAACCCAAGGGGTCACCGTCCGCAGCCCAGACCCCAGGACCTGACACCCAGGCAGGCATGCCGAGGCTTCCTGTATGAACAGCAGGGGGCAGTAGGCATCTTCGGAATCCGCCTGGGTCTTTGGGGGCGCAGCCCTGGCCCGGAGCACCTCCTAATCCCGCACATCTGGACGGCTTTAGTCAGCAAAGCCTCTTCATCCGCCATCTCCTCTATCCTCCCCACGCTGAGAACGGGTGTGGGGGGGGCCACACAAGAGGGTGCCAAGTCACAGCGGGCTGGGGGGCTGGGGCTGGGAGGGGTCTCGGGCCTGCCCAGGCAGCCAGGGGTGCCGCCCGTGGGTCGGGGAGAGGTTTCCAGGGCGAGGCCCATGCTGGTTGAAGGACGTGTTCTGAATCGCCCAGGTGCACGGCCCCCGGGTAGGGTGTTCTGAGAGAAGATGGCACATTGGGGGGCGGGGGGGGGGACTTATGTGTGAGAGGACAGACAGCCCCTGCTTCGACCGGGCACCAGGGCCCTGAGGCCTCCCCCTGGGAACTGGGCTTGGAGAATTGGAGGGACGTGGCCACTGAGCATCTAAAGTCCCCACCACCACTATTGCAAGGGGACCCTATTGATTAGAGGAACAAATAGGGAGTATCAGGAGGAGGGGACTGCCCTGTGCCCCAGCCAACAGTGATGGAGTGTGGACTGAGCACCTGGTCAAGTCCATCGGCCCAGTGTGGCCAGCTCACAATGGCCGCCCGACCCTGCCCGCCCATGTCAGCAAACAAGGCTGCATGTGTCTGTCCTCAAACTCCTTGCAAGAACAGGGACGTTTCTCAAACTTGTCACTGAGCCCTAAATAGAGCAGCTCAACTGCAGTCTCCACCCGCCCCCGCCCCCCCCAAGACTTCTTGGACTGGGCAGAAGCTCTGGGTCGTTGGACCAGGCCAGGCGCCTGGGCAGGTGGGGAGCTTGCAGCTGGCTCCCTGGTCCCCCATTGGTCTGAGAGGGCTCCATGCCCTTACTGAGCCGGGGCCCAGCCCAGGGGAGGCCATTTATACCCCTCCCCTGGCCCACCAGCCCAACCGGCCGCCGGCTGACCCACTCTGCACCGTAGCACAGAAGCTAGGTGAGGCCCCCACTACACAGTCGACGCCAGGGCTCTGGGCACTGAGCTCCAGAGAGAACTTCTCGGGGGGTTAGGGTGGAAACTGGGGTCGGGGGCTGCGGTGTGGATGCAGCAACTCTTCCTGGGGTCCCCACGGAGCTGGGTGCAAGAAGGAAGATGATGATGTATTGGGTGGTAGGGTGGGCAGACCCCTAAGGACATGGCCTCTGTTCTGGGGACATTAGAGGGAGATTTAAGGGGCGAGGGACCCCTGGCGCTACACCCCAAACCAAGTGGAGGAGCGGTTTCTCCACACTTGGGCTCAAAGCCAAAGAGACAAGATTAAAAATAGCCTCATGGACTCCAGACCACCTGTGCTGACCCATCCGGCACTGCCCTCCCCCCACACATACACCCCCCAGGGACAGCTGCAGCTCCTCCAAGCCTCACCCTGGACTTTGGGACACTCTCCTCTTACTCCCGCTGGGGGAATTCCAAGATGACAGCTCCCCCCACCCCCACCGAAGAGGGGACAGTTGGGCTGGTGGAGGGGACTGGGTGGCCTTCAGTACCACACCCCATAGCCTCAGGGCCAGGGCCTGACACATGTCCTCTGTCTCTCTAGGCTCTGAATTCAGGACTTCAGGATGGGGGAGTAAGTGGTTCCCCAGGGCATCTGCTGCCCTTCTTGTGTGCTGCCCGCCCCCGCCTCACCTCCTCCCAGCCCCCAAGTCCTGCTCCCCTCTGACCATGATCCTGACCCTAAATTTTCTCTTCTCTCCCCCTTCCCCCTGCCCCACAGTGATGAGGTAAGTAGCTGCTTGTCTGGGGAGGTTTACACATGATGGAGGGGACAGACCCCACTGGGGATAGGTCAGAGGTCAGAGGTCAGAGATTCAAGGCCCAGGGAACATGGCCAATTGGTCCCTCCCCTATGGTGAAAATGTGCCACTCCACAGCCCCCCAAGACCCTGATGAAACAGGAAGTGACACCCTGTGCATGAAAGCAGGGGAAGTGGGCTTGGTACCACAGGGAAAGGATTGCTTCTCCTTTCTGACTGTGCCCCAGAACTACAGGGTCCCCCCACCCCTGCTACTGGGCCATTCCTTCTCTGCCTCTGCCTTTCGGAATGGGATCGGTCACCAGGCACAATGCTGTCTCCACACAGCACCTTGTCCCTGAGCCCAGCTCAGCTGCCCCTGGGTAGAACCCCCTGTCTGGAGGGGAGCCGGGGAGAAGGGGAGCTAAACCTCAGTCACCCTGACCCACTCCCTCTCCCCTGCCCTGCAGAAACGCAACAGGGCCATCACGGCCCGCAGACAGCACCTGAAGGTACGGAGACAGTCCTGAGTGTGGTGGGATCCACGTGGGGTCTGGGACCTACAGGGGGGCACCGGAGTCTGCAGAGGGTGTTGGGGGTCTATGGAATTTGCGGGAGGCACTGAGCTCCGTGCATGGCCAGGGGATCTACGGGGGCGACAGGGCCTGAGGAGGGAGGGTCTCCATGGTGGGCCACAACCCCTCATGCCCCCCCACCCCACCCCCAGAGCGTCATGCTCCAGATCGCAGCCACGGAGCTGGAGCAGGAGGGGAGCCGCCGCGAGTCCGAGAAGCAGTCATACCTGCAGGAGCACTGCCCACCCCTGCACATCCCCGGCTCTATGGCTGAAGTACAGGTACCGCCCGCCAGCTGCCTCCATTCCCCTGCACCCGTGGTCTAGGGATGGAGGCCGGGTCTGGCAGTGGGCGACCCTGAGCCCACAGTGGCCTCTGCCCCCAGGAACTCTGCAAGCAGCTACATGCCAAGGTGGACGTGGCCGAGGAGGAGAAGTATGACATGGAAATCAGGGTGCAGAAAAGTACCAAAGAGGTGAGCAGCTGGCCGGGCTGGGCCTGTGGGCCAGGGCAGGGAGGCCAAGCTTCCCCAGTGCTTACCAGTCCCCACCCTGCAGCTGGAGGACATGAACCAGAAGCTCTTTGACTTGAGAGGCAAGTTCAAACGACCCCCACTTCGGAGGGTGCGCATGTCCGCCGACGCCATGCTTAAGGCCCTCCTGGGCTCCAAGCACAAGGTGTGTATGGACCTGAGAGCCAACCTGAAACAGGTCAAGAAAGAGGACACCGAGAAGGTACCTGCCCATGCTCCTAGCCCCAGGGCCCTGGGAAGGGGAGACCCAACCACGAAGCTTACAATTCTGGGCCCTGTCCCCTTCCCCAGGAGCGGGACCTCCGAGATGTTGGCGACTGGCGGAAGAACATCGAGGAGAAGTCAGGCATGGAAGGTCGGAAAAAGATGTTCGAGTCCGAGTCTTAGACTGGCCATCTGGCAGAGGCTACCCACAGAGCCCGGCCCGGCCCAGCCCATCTCAGTGGTCAATAAAGGCTGCTCGTTCCCAACACTGCTCTGGTCTGGTGCTGGCCACCTGGTGGGCTGGGCTCTCACCTCTGGGAACCACCCTCTGTGGCAATGTGGTCAGGGGGATGGGGAGCAGTTCCAGGACTGCCTGGGACAGGAAGGCCCGTGTAACTGGTGACCCTTCCTCTTGGGAAGGGCCTGGGAGAGTGACCACTGGCCCTGCCCAGGGCTCCAGGGCTGGAGGAGAGCTGGTCCTGGAGGAGACACACAAGCTTGCCCCTATGGTGTAAGGTGGCCAGGGCAGACCCCTGCCCCCAGGCTGCCCCTCCTCCAAGAGCCAACAGGACTCCTGCCTGCCGCCCGAAGGGTGACCACACAGCCACTTCCCCTCTTACCCACTCAGGGTAACCCCTTCTGTGTCTCCAGACCCTGGACACTGAGTCTGTACCCTGGCTTGGGCCCTGAGACCTGAGACCACCAGTCTACATGGTGGGGTCTCAACAGGCCAGGCCGGAGGTCTCCGATCCTTCCTGCTGCTCTGCAAGGCAGGCAGCACCACACGCAAGCTATGCGCGAGGAAACAGAGGCCTGGCCTGGTTAGAGGCAGGGGGCAGGCCTCAGATCCCAATCTCCACAGGGGGCATCAGGGAAGTCCTAGGCCAGTCCACCCCCATCTGGGTCGGGCACACCTGGCATGGACAAACTTGGAGGAGGCATGTACCTGAGCTAGGGTGATGATTAACCAAACCTGGTCCTGAACCTGAGCCCCCTGAGCTGGGTGGGAGTAGAGAACTTTGTCTAGCTTCCATTCATCACTAAGAGCCCATCTTGCAAGTCAGGGGACAGAGTACCCCAGGCCTGGACAAAGAGCGTCCTTGGCAAGGTTTGACTGTCAGCCCCTTCCTGGCCGATGATGCCCCACAAGGTCCCTGCTCAGATCTCTGGGAGCCAGGCTATCAGCCTGTCCTTGCCCCTGGAAGGCCCAGCGTTTGATCTGCCAGAGGCAGGGAGGGCAGCTGCTGGCCAGCCTTGAGACCATCACAAAGGACAGACGTCAGTAGTGCTATTCGACCTCGTGGAGCCAAACTCCCACCTTCCCCCAACAAGCCCCAGGGTTTGGCCTTGACTTTTTTGCAATACTTTCATGCTAGGCCCTCCGGCTCAGGGACCCTGCTGTTTGCTGTAGAGTACCTCTACCCAGGCTGACTGCTTTGTGTCTTGGCCTGCCTCAGTTTCTCTGGGGCAGAGGGGTTGAAGTTGGTCAAACAGAGGCCGAATGAGGCTCACAGAGAGTTTAAGGAGCCATGAGGAACATCGGGGGTGGGGGTGGGGGGTGCTGGCTGGGCCAGATCTGTCTATGGACAGCGAGGTCTTTGGTGGGACCTAAAGGTGGAGGACAAGTGTCAGAAGGAAGAGGAGTGTTAGGGGCCGTGGAATGTTCTAGACCAAGACAGCAGCCTGCAGAGTTGGGAGCCTCACGGCAAACAGGAAACAGGGTCCAGAGAATAACGGTGGAGCAAAATAAACCGGGGCAGGTCCACTGGAAAGGGGGCCAGAATCAATCATGAGGGCAGGGGGTAACCCAGGCTCAGAGCAGGGCTCTAGCAAGGAAGGGTTCAGCCCACCGGGACTAGGAGGACACACATCATTAAAAGACTATTTTTTAAAAGGCAAGCATATCTCAGACATGAAATTCCAGAGAGTAATTAATTACCTGGGATATCTCAGACAAAAAAATTCCAGAGAGTAATTACCTGGGATAGGGACAGAGAGGGTAGAAGCAACTAAATAGCTGTCGGTGGGGAATGTTCTAATTCTTGGGTTGGATCACGGATTTATGGTGTTTGTGACGTCTGAGTATGAATGAATGCAGACAAAGAGGACCATGCAAGTAAGTAAATGAAATATCCACATCCCTAAGGAGCTCTGGTAGCGTAGTGGTTACGAATCGGGCTGCGAACCTTAAAGTCAGCGGTTCGAAACTACCAGCCGCTCCGCGGGAGAAAGATGAGGCTTTCTACTCCCGTAAGGATTTACACCCTCGGAAACCCTGTACAGGGTCGCTATGGGTCGGACCCGACTCGATGGCACTTAACAACAATAACAACAACAACAACCACTCTGCAGTCAGTGAATGGATGCGTGAATCTAGCCAAAGAAGACCACGCAAAAAGAAATTTACATGCTTATGATTCCAACTGCAGGGCATTCTGGGAAAGACAAGAGTCTAGCAATACTGAATAGACCTCAGGGGGCTGGGGCGGGGTGGGGGTGGGGGATGATGGAGGGAGGCCTAGGGCATTTTCAGGACAGTCATGGTGGACACAAGCATTAGCGGAAACCCACGGAACAATGCAAGAGGAAGAGTGAGCCCCTCTGTGAACTGTGGACTGGGCTTAGGAACCATGAGTCTATGTTGGTTGAGCCATTGTAAAGAATGTACTGCACAATGCCAGGCATCACTAATAAGATGGGGGGCGTGTTTATTTTTTTAAAAGAGTATTAAAACCACCTCCACTTCTGGGTCAGTAAATGAATGAATGAAATCAAAGAGGACCATGGGACAAAAGGAAACAAGCAAACATCAAAAGCAGAAAACAACAAAGCCAGGGCCCACTAGACCCCATGCCTGTCTCTATGGGGGGTGAGCCCTCATGGTGGGGAACCTGAGGGCTGAACTCAGGGCAGGTGGTGAGGGCTCAAAAACACCTCCTGTCCTCATCAGATTCCCATTCTAGAAAGTTCCCTGCAGGTGGAGACTAAGAAGAAAAGAGGCAAAATGAGAAATGAGGAGATGGAACACACTCCAATGTGGGAGGGGGCGGAAGGCAGGGAGCAGCAGGTTAATAGGGGCTGGGGTCTGAGGGGCCCAGGAAGTTTTGAGGGGAGGTTACATAAGTAGAAAAGCATGAATTGGGAGTCCCGCAGAGGTCTGGGGATCCTGGAAGTGGGTGATCAGGGTCCTCTCATCAGAGACAAGCAGCCACAGTAAGGGGGATCGGAGTGAGGGGAGGGAAGAGGGGCGGCCACATCCAGGGCCAGAGCAGCAGCTGAAGCAAGAGACCCTAAGGGGGTGATCTAGCATGGGGAGGGAGGGCAGGGAGGTGTCAGGTACTGTGCAAGATGCAGGGGTCCGGGTGAGGCAGAAGCCCCTAGCCAACCGGGCCCTGGTTGTGGCTGAGGCTGTGCAGGGGGTTGGGGCCATGGAGATAATCCTGAAGGCTTGGGCTGTTACAGAACAAGGAAGGAGGTATTTAAATAGGTAAGGCCAAGGTGTGCACGTGTATCTTTATATGTGTGTACGTGTGTATACATGGCAACATACGAGGGGACTTCATGAGTTCCTGGAGAGATCATGAGATTGTTCTATGGAGATTCTGGAACCCACTGGCAGGCACATGGGGTCTTCGTGCTGTCCACCAAAGGGCCGAGAAGCAGCAGTGGACACAGAGTACCAGGCTGTGGTCTCTAACACCACTCATCACCAGAAAGAACATCTCCACAGAGACATGGCGCTCCCAGGGCCTACATCCGGTGAGCATTATGCCGGAAAGAAAGGATTGCTCAAAACAAGTACAAAGAGAGAGGAGAGCTTCACAAGGACATGGTCAGGAGATTAGATCAAAGTGACATTTCGATGTTAACTGTGCTGATAGTGCTGGCTGAGCTATCCAGCTTAAGAAAACAGCTGTGTTTTCAGAAAACTCGGAAAGGTCTTGATAAATGAAGGGTTGTGTGTCTTACTTCAAATGAAAGAATGAGAACCTGAAGGACACAGATAGACCCAGAGATAAACATAACAGAACTAGAAACAGGAGACGGAGATGAGTAATCCACAGACAGACAGATAGACAGATAAACAGAAATAGATAGAAACAGATGGACAGGAAGAGGGGGACAGAGAAATGATCGTTAGATAGGCAGGCAGGCAGATAGGCAGACAGAGTTAGATACATGACTAGATACATGGACATTGTTGTTGTTAGGTGCCTTTGACTCTGTACCAACTCTGTAGCAACCTTATGTACACAGAACGAAACACTGCCTGGTTCTGCGCCAACCTCACAATCACTGTTACGCTTGAGCCCATTACTGCCGCCACTGTGCCAATCCATCTGGTTGGGGGGTCTTTCCCTTGTCTGCTGACCCTCCACTTTACCAAGCATGATGGCCTTCTCCTGGGACTGGTTCCTCCTGAGAACATGTCTGAAGTATAAGAGACAAAGTCTGGTCATCCTGACTTCTAAGGAGCACTCTGGCTGCACTTCTTCCAACACAGATTTGTTGGTTTTTTGGCAGCCCATGGTACTTTTAATATTCTCCTCCAACACCATAAATCAGATGTATCAATTCTTCTACAATCTTCCTTATTCATTGTCTAACTTTCATACGTATATGAGATTATTGAAAATACCATGACGTGAGTCAGGTGCACCTTATATTGCAAGTTGTTAATGTGTCTTCTCCTATCCTGATGCCACGTTTTTACTTCATATAATCCAGCTTCTTGGATTATCTGCTCAGCATGCAGATGGAACAGGTATGGTGAAAGAATACAACCCTGGCACACACCTTTCCTAATTTTAAGCCATTCGGTGTTCCTTTGTTCTATTTGAACAACAGCTTTTGTCTATGTACAGCACAACTGTTTGGGAACACTCATTCTCCATGAACATATTCTACTTGAATTTAGAGATCATCTCAAAAATATATTTGAGAATGTGTGTAGATAGATACATAGATGAATCCATAGACAGATACGTAGGTAGCTACATGTTGTTATTGTTGTTACTGAGTGCCCTGTATAGGGTTTCTGAGGACGGGCTGGGGAGTTTGGACCACCGACCTCACAGTTCAAATGGGCCTTTGGGTCCAGTGCATTATCCCACAGTGATACATACATAGACACATAGGCAGTTACGTAGACAGCTCCATAGATAAATATACAGGTAGATATA